GGGAAGAAAATTTTGATGTCCCAAGTTTATTCAAGGCTCTAGAGATATATTATAAGGGAAGTCGAATCTTATAAAAAGAACTTTCATAGGAGAATGTGACATTATCTAAAACGGAAAGGTGACAGGAGTTAGATTTTTAGAATGAGTGTTAGGATGTCATGTTTAGAATAGAAAATTCCACATACCCTTTTACGTAATGTTGTTACAGTATTTTCTTGGATTATCAATTGTATTCAAATATCACTTAACTTACGTTGTAACAGAAAAGTAGGTTATATCATACTTCAACAACAATAAATAAATTATTATAAAATGATTTACTATCATAAATGTTCTTTGTTAAAAAGAAAAAATTCAACATATATAAATAAATTTTTGTAGAACAAGAACTTTTTTATTTTAGTTAATCAACTAAGAGGTTGACGCCTAAAGTTTTCTTTATGAGCATATTGTTTATATGAGTGTTATCATAAAGGTTGTTTTTATGTTCTATGATTTGATATAATTTTTTATTGTTGTTGTTGTTATATTTGATTTTCTGCAAAAATAAATATATATGAACTTATCAGTCATTATTTGTTTGTATTTTGTATGTATAAAAAATTATACTCAAGAATTCTATATTAATCTTACTAAAACTTAAAGTTAGACTAGTTGGAAATAGATATGATTAAAATTATTTTGTATGTAATTTTAATTTTTTTTTATATTGAAATCATATTGCATGTAATTATCCATATTGATCTATGTTATTTAATGTATTGATATGGTGACCATTGGAGTCTGGCAACATGTCATGTGACTCACGAAAGTCACAATTAATGATTCTATTATTGATACATGAGATGAATCAAATTGTTAGATTGAAAATATAAAGACAAATAGCATATATATGCACATCTAAGGAATTGTGATATATTTGTTACAATATGTAGTTCAATAGGGAGATTGTTGAAATTTTGTATTCTACTAAATAATGTGACATCTTTCTACTCCAAAATGTAATTCTTATATATTATGCTTAAATTCACTTTTGTTCCTTATAATTTTGTAATTGTACAATTTTAGTCCGAAAAATATTTTCATTGCAAATTTTGGTCTCTCTAGTTTCAAAATCAAGTCATATAATTAGTTCACTCATTAACATATCATTTAAAATTAAATAGAAAATGCTATAGTGCTTTTTGTGAATGACATCGTCTGGCAATTAGTTAGTCGCGTGTAGGGTTTAATGTAAAGAACAACATTGCTTTTTTACGACATAAATGATACATTTTTTTATTTCAATTATAAATTATATTCTATTAAAATAATTTTTAAAAATATTTAAAACTATTATTTTCTTATGTGACTAACTAATTATTTGGCAATATCTTTCATAGACACATTAGCATTTTCTCTTTAATTTTCAATGACAAGTTAAAGGGTGAACTAACATTTACATTGCTTAGTATTGAAAACTTCAAGAAGACTAAAATTGTAAATTTGCAATATAATAAGAACCAAAATCGAATTTAAACACTCATATATATATAGTCATGATAAATAAAAAATAATTAGTTGCAACTTTATATAAAAGGAGTTCCCATGTATAATTTATATTGAAAACAAAAACTTCGATAAAAGAACAAACACCATATATAAATAAGCATAAAAGAGACCTTTATAAAAGTCCTTAAAACTAAACTATATATTAACAATGATAAAAATTCTAGTAACATATTCCACGATAGAAGATGATAAAACAAGCTAGTCCTTTGTCTTAATGTCACAACCTAATAAGAGCAATTTCATTAAAGCTAGTCCTCGCCTGGAATCGGCATTCAAGTCAAACAAGAACACAAAATAGAAAATAAAAGACTAAGAATATGTCTCACACATGTTTGAAGCATATTTAAAAAGGTCAGGTAGTTAACTAAACACAATTACATATAACAAAAGCTCATACACATACATAACACACAAGACATTTTTCTCATGAAGATTCATGCTAGTAGTTCTATATGCATGTGGTAGCATAAACTCTTCACACAAAGTGTACACATATGAGGCAACTCGAGAGTACATGAAATAACACAAATTACCAAACAATGGGTAGTGAAACATCCACTTTCACTAGGACGAAATTCAACCTAAGCTAGTCGAGGTCCAAAAGTCATGCATGGTTACCCCTTATCACATGTGTTGATAAGTTGCTCCCTACTATTAAAATCTCCAAGTCAAAGATAGAAGATCATGGAGACCTCCAAGTCTTTCACAACAAATACTTCTAAACAAAAGATACATGATATGCATGGATTCTCAAACAACACACATAGCATATTACTCATGACTAGGCAATGCTTAGACTTTAACACTGCCGAACAAGGTCTAGGCTTCATGAATACCCAAACAAAGCTTACAAGTATAACTTGGAATTTACCCTACTAAGCATGGTTTAAATTTAAATCATATCACATATATATCAGATCATTTGCAATTATATATATATATATATATATATATATATAT